AAGCGAAACGACTGCAATACCCGGGTTGGCTCGAGAAAGGTGACCAGAACGCTGGAGCCATGTAGAGAGTGTCGGATAACAACTGCTCACAGTCCATTATAAGTTGCATAAGCACCACTGCTCAATCCAACGGGAGGAGCACAGCAGAGACAAAAAGTTCAAAGAGCTGGTGTCGAGGGCCGAAAATGGCGATTACGCGGGCACCGTTTTCATCGACGACAAAATTCCTCACATGGAGCGGAGCTACAATCTTCAAACTCCGAGGATGCCCGCATGAGGTCTTGAGGAAGTCAGTGAGAGTGAAAGGAATATTCGCCACAAGCAGCAGCCTATCTGATGAACCAAAGCTTCTCAACAAAGTTTCAACGTCAAAGAGGACACCATAGGATGCCATGCGGGCCACAGTAGGGTTGCGTTCGAAGCATCTGGGAGCCATACTCACAACAACAGGGGAGCATATCCAATGAATGTCATTCCTTTCAATATGTAAATGTATTGCTAAAATTTTGTAAAACCTCTTGAAATACATCCATTTTGAAAGAAGTTACAAGTAAAGAAAAGTGGTGCAATATTTATGGGACACCCTGTAAAAAGCTCGGTATAGAAAGGAGATCCTTGTCCTCACACGTGCAACAGAATGAAGGAACGACAAGAAAAGGCGGCCAGCATTTCAGCCTGAGCCTATCATTTGTGAGAAGTAAAAGTGGGGCAAGTACCTTGACGATTTTTTCGCGCTAGACTTGGTAATTAACCTTGGTATTATCTAGTAAGCGAATCTCCGAAGAAGTATCACACGGTGGGTGAAATTCACGGTAACAACGAGCGTGCCGCTCGCAAATTCCAACTTCAAAGACGGTAGTTTTTATGTATATTCTATGTAGTTGTTTTGACAATTTAGCGTTCCATATGTCGTCAAAATCGTCACATGAAATGTGTATAGAAAGGAGGACAATCCTTTAATTCCTGAAGGAAACAATCACTGCTTTGCTGCCGACGAGCTGTTTGATGTATACAGGGGGGGGGGGGGGGCAAAAAAAGTCACTCTCACTCACATTCAAAACAGAATTAATTACACTTTGCCAAAACCAAACCGAATGAGCTTAATTGCATATGAAGAGCACATTCTATTCTATCAGAAAATTAACATGGGCTTTTCTACACAACGACGACATCAGAAGATTTTCCCACGGAAACATGGTTCACGGTACGAGCTCAACGAGGTCGTCGAGGTACCATAGACCATTACGACGTCCCTGAAACGCTGGTCAAAAGCGGTTTGCATAGTCACAGCTAATGTCTCTGGGAAGCTATTCAACAGTTATCCGATTGAAGAAATTATGTAGCAGCTTCAGAATGGAGCGATTACGGTAGGCCTCCTTGAGCTCGACGGTGATGACAGATGACGTCATATTCTGGAGACGGTGAAAGCAGCGAAGGTGGGCCTGATTCTGCTTATGGGGGACATCTAAGAATAATTTCGCCGTATAACTCCCAATAACAGCGGCATCCTCTTGCGACGAAAAGTTTGATGATATGCGCCATAGGCAAAGTGACTCTTTTTTTGCGTATAACCGCCCGCCTGTACAGTTGCATGGCGAATTCGGCAGTCTGACATGAAAGCATGAATCATTCTTGGAAGCGCAGTAGACTAACTAATACACCATCAATAGCCCTGAACCTGAGAAAATTACGACGTGACTCTGTGAACAATATCACGAAGATTCGTGCCACGAAAAGTTGGAATGAAGTTACTCACTCTCACACATTTGTTCGCTTGCCAATTGCGCTTCGAGCACTGCACCTGCTGCGACGTTTTGTTAGCAAAAGGAGAAGCAACCATTGTCTTGAAACAGTAAAACCATGAAAGGCTTGACTTCTGACCAACGCGAATAAATTGATCAGAAAGCAATGGCGACGTCGTCGCGGTTCCACTATGTGCCTCGTTTTTCGATCCCTTGCCCTGAGGAAAAGATTGCTGTGGCCGGTCTTGAAGAAACAAGGGCAACCATACACCTCACAATTTATTATTTGGAAAATAATTACTCCTCAATAGGAAACACGAGTGTCAGAGTAAGAATGCATGCTCTTTACAATGCGAAGATTTCTTAGTATGGTTAGTCCCCGAAACCTCATAAAAGATCTAAATCGTAGGTTGAATGCAAACAAGCTTGAGGCTTAAAAAACTTGCGGCAAAAGTTGGTTGTTTCTTGCATCCCCCGAGCTTGATATAGAATTATATTGCACTGAGCATTCCAAGCAAAAGGACGCGTCATTCGTTTAAGGCCTCGCGAGCGACGGCGCGATTTTGCCAAGACGTTCAAGTCAATAAAAATTCTATTATCAATGCTCGAGGCTAAAGAAACATCAGAACTTGAATAGTTACTGCACTAATGGCCGAGATTAATGGAGCGATCCACCATTGTAGATCGCAAAACACTTTATTTTTGAAATGGATTTTTTGGAGGCTTCAAACAAACAACGTTCAACATTTGAATGCGAAGATGTTCAGAATTGGTGCCAACAAAATGTGCGCAATGGAGATGGCAACATAGCTCTCCCCAAATTATGAAATGCTCTGTATTGAGTAAGTCGGGGACAAAGCGCTGCTATAAGCACGGTCGAAACATTAATTAGTTGAGCAGTCCGCCCTTAGGAAAGCCTTCGGCCTAAACCTCGACAACACCTACAGTAAAGCGGTCAAAATGTTCCGCCGGAAGATGATGAAAATAGCTTGATCCAGGGGTCTTCTCTCCTTCAGGCTTAGTCCCGATTGGGAGAGAACAGTGCGTTAAACAAGAAAAGGCAGAAATCGCGCGCAGCGACGCCCAAACCCCCCTCCCCCCCCAGCCAATCACCTGCAGCCAGAAAAAATCAATGGTGGCCTCGAAATTTTTTCTTTCGAACATCCTGATTCTTTAAGGCTTGAGGATATAAAACACTAAAAAAACAGTATATCAATCTTTGGAGGGCGTTGCTCAAGCGAGAAAAAATAATGCACTAAAAATCGATTTCGCGCGAACACTTTTGATCGCTACTGTACATGCACAATAGGAATATGAGATTCTCAGCGAGAATTTGTTTAGTGTCGCAGCGCAGAGAGCAGCGTTTCGGAGGAGTAAGTTATTCAATCTTCGATCTGATAAACATCCGACAACAGATTGGTATTTTGGTTCGGGTGTTTCTGCCACAATGTTCTTTTATGACCAGTTTATTTTAGTACCATAATTTTCTCCTATTCTATACATACATTGGCCAGAACTGCGACAATGCGCGAACAGTTCATCACGCGTTTGTACCGAATGACCAAAAAGAGAAGAGGACAGGATTTGGCTTCACGTCTACATCTTGTTCCATACGAGCATCACCGTGCCAACTGAGTGGAACAAATCATGTGAATTTGATTTCACCAGAGTAAATTTTCTATGCTCCACAAAACAATGAGTTCGCCATAGTGCCGAAGAAAAGGTTCTGTTGAAAAGTCTACGATAAAAATCAGGTTCAAAAAATCTCAGACACTGTTGTACCTGTTGTATCTATGTAGATGCCAATTGTTAATGACAAGGTCTTAGATCATATCACTGACATATCCCCCAATTTAGGCCAAAGCGGATTTCTTATCCCCCCCCCCCCCCTAAACCGCCTTCGGAAAGACTGTTATATGCATAGACCCAATTGGAAGTATATAATCACTCAGTTGTACACTAGCTGCCCCTGCAACTGATTGTATGAGCTCGATCGTCTTCAAACAAAGCCACAGGCTCTATACAAGTTGGGTGGGCACGCCCGGCTTTTCACGCATGTCAAATGACTGCCCTCACCCGCACCCCCAGATTTGGCTAGCAATGGCCGCCCTGGCTCACAAATTCCCTGATTGCTACATTCAGAATGAAAGCAGGAAGCATGGCGCATTCCCAAAAAGGGGTGAATGGGTATGAATGCGACATAAATCGCACCTGAAGAATCTGAAAGTTTCAACTCAAGAACAATCATTCTACTAAAAGAATCCCTTGGATGCCAAGACTCACGGTTAAAGAGAGAAAGCGTTAGGTATTGGCGATAAATTTAATCTCTCAAATTTTTCGGCCTTCCCAGCAATAGAGCAGAATGTCGGCGAATCAATGTTAACCGGTTTGATCTGAAGCATCCAGTCAATTCTGGTAGATATTACCCATTTCTGAGAGTGTCAAGCGTTCCTCGCGAGGTCCATAACCCTCCAGAGCGCCCTCATTTTGTACTTTGAAGTGCAACAAGCATTGGCTGGCTTTCTCGCAGAACGAGGTCGTTCGATGGTTTTTTAGTGATCTGTGAGATCTACGAATCTATAGCTATGATTCGCGCCCTATCAGCAGGCCGCCTATAATAGCCGACATTGAGCCTAGAGGTCTCCTCTCCTCTCTTTTTAGTCCTCTCAGGATTTTAGTTGAGTGACTTCATTCTCTCACCTTCAGCCACTTTGGCTCCTTTTTTAACTAGCGCGCCATCTTCTGATTGTCGTACCATGGGAACCACGGAATTTAAAAGCTTCTGCTTTTTTTCTACCGTCTCCACTTCCTTGAGCTTTTAAGGTCACTTCCTCAAACCATGTCCGTGTTGGAGATAAGTATTAATTGGCTCTAATTTCTCATGTCCCCTTTCCTATAAGATGTGAAACAGGAGGAATTGAGTGAATGTTCTGGTTACCAGCTCTTCAAAGGTCATCCTAAGTAGAGGAACTTCTAGCTGAGCTTGTTCCAGATGTCCCGCAGTACAGCACAAGAACAGTTCTACTACGGTATCGATGAACAGGCTCGCCGGCCAACCGCACGACCATTGCCGGATGCGCGCCAAAAAGGTCAGTCTCAATCAGAGGTCTATGTGCTTTTGAAACCCCTTCTCAAACTTCAGGTTACCATCAGTACCTAAAACTCGCCGCTATAAGTTGATCGGCCATAGGAAATCGCTGCGCAAACGCCCGCGTCACGTCATGATTTTCACTGTTTCAAAATTACTGTTTTTCCGACATGTGCCGTGCATATATCAAAAGGAACAGTATCAAATGCAAAACCCCAAGCTCGGTTCATCTAGGGGTGATGCTCTGCTGCGGGAGTGTTGTTTTTTTGGCTTGACAATTCGAAGTGATTCAGTTGAGAATTTGTCCAGAGGCGCAAAGCTTCATACTTTTTAGGATTCCACGGCCAGACCAGACTTATTACGGTCACCCCTGACGCGATCATTCCATCAGTAAATGAACCGATCGAGGCCAGTGGAGGATCAAGAAGACGCAGGAGCGATTTATTTGACGTTAGTGGAGTGACGTAGGATTTGACCTTACCTTTGTTGAACCAGATAGAAATGACCATTTGCAGTCTCGTGGGCGACGTCAGTGTGTCACCTGGGAAACAATGACAGACGAGGAACGGGAGGAAGTGCAGAGAATGAAAAGGTGAGTTTGGAGTCCCTGACCCCTGAATAAGTGTACTATACATGCTGCAGCGGTGCGCGTGTGAGCAGCGCGGACAAATTGTTCCACCACCTTTACGCGGAATTGATTGATAACTGACTATCATTACCAGCAGGTTATTCATGAGGAAT